CTAGAAGTGAGGAGATATGTTATCTGTCACAGATGGTCATTGATTCTAGAAGTGAGGAGATATGTTATCTGTCACAGATGGTCATTGAGCCTAGAAGTGAGATGATATGTTATCTATTTGACTTTCTATGAATGGAGAAATATATAAGGTAGTAGTTTGTAGATGATAAACAGTTTATCACTAAGTGTTTTCAGTGTTTGTTTTTCAAACAATTTAATCATCACTGGCACGTGGATAAAATGGAAAGGCCACACCACACAGGTGGCTCATCACTGGCACGTGGATAAAATGAAAAGGCCACACCACACAGGTGGCATCTTCTCCATTTCATCCATGTGCTCGCAATGAGAAAATTGTTCTCACGACAAACCCTGAAAACACTGAGTGATAGTCTATAATTCTGCCACTCCCACACAGTGTCTTATACCATTGGAACACTGACTTAGTGACCGACACGGGCTCAACACCTTTACTGGCAGATCAGCATGGTGTCAAGTTAGTGTCGACAAGAGTTGCAGCTTAGTAGAACAATACAGTTCGCTAGCTAACAGGAATTGTCCTGGAAAAAAATACTTTTGTTGACAAATTGAAAGAGAAAATATTTTTTAATTTACTATAACACTTATACTTCATTTCACTACTCATAGGGAGAGGATTTTTTTAATGTGATTAATTTAGATTTTGTTTATTTTCCTGAACAACTAACAAGTGTGTTAGTGACAGTCCTTACATGTACTGTGACATTGCATTTTATTGTAATTTAATATCTTACACCTTATTGTATAGATGACTCCTCCCCATAAAGAGTGTGCACCAAGAGATTTAATTCTGATGATTACTGATTGTATTGTACTTGATTAGGTGATTCAGACCTGCAGAACATCATCGGGGGTATGAGCCAACAGCAACTGATGCAGCTCCTAGGTAAGTAGATAGGTGTATTTAACCTACAACCTAATAGCAGGGGAATCCCTTACCACATAGTTAACAGCTACTAGGGGATTAGACAACACCCCATAGTTAACAGCTACTAGGGGATTAGATAACACCCCATAGTTAACAGCTACTAGGGGATTAGACAACACGGTTTATTTAACCTACAACCTAATAGCAGGGGAATCGCTTCCCACCTAGTTAACAGCTACTAGGGGATTAGACAACACCCCAGAGTTAACAGCTACTAGGGGATTAGACAACACGGTTTATTTAACCTACAACCTAATAGCAGGGGAATCGCTTCCCACCTAGTTAACAGCTACTAGGGGATTAGACAACACTCCATAGTTAACAGCTACTAGGGGATTAGATAACACCCCATAGTTAACAGTTACTAGGGGATTATACAACACCCCCTAGTTAACAGCTACTAGGGGATCATACAACACCCCATAGTTAACAGCTACTAGGGGATTATACAACACCTCATAGTTAACAGCTACTAGGCGATTAGACAACACCCCATAGTTAACAGCTTCTAGGGGATTAGACAACACCCCATAGTTAACAGCTACTAGGGGATTAGACAACACCCCATAGTTAACAGCTACTAGGGGATTAGACAACACCCCATAGTTAACAGCTACTAGGGGATTATACAACACCCCATAGTTAACAGCTACTAGGGGATTAGACAACACCCCATAGTTGAACAGCTACTAGGAGATTAGACAACACCCCATAGTTAACAGCTATAAGGGGATTAGACAACACTCCATAGTTAACAGTTACTAGGGGATTAGACAACACCCCATAGTTAACAGCTACTAGGAGATTAGACAACACTCCATAGTTTACAGCTACTAGGAGATTAGACAACACCCCATAGTTAACAGCTACTAGGGGATTAGACAACACTCCATAGTTAACAGCTACTAGGAGATTAGACAACACCCCATAGTTAACAGCTACTAGGAGATTAGACAACACCCCATAGTTTACAGCTACTAGGGGATTAGACAACACCCCATAGTTAACAGCTACTAGGGGATTAGACAACACTCCATAGTTAACAGCTACTAGGGGATTAGACAACACCCCATAGTTAACAGCTACTAGGGGATTAGACAACACTCCATAGTTAACAGCTACTAGGGGATTAGACAACACCCCATAGTTAACAGCTACTAGGGGATTAGACAACACTCCATAGTTAACAGCTACTAGGGGATTAGACAACACCCCATAGTTAACAGCTACTAGGGGATTAGACAACACTCCATAGTTAACAGCTACTAGGGGATTAGACAACACCCCATAGTTAACAGCTACTAGGGGATTAGACAACACTCCATAGTTAACAGCTACTAGGGGATTAGACAACACCCCATAGTTAACAGCTACTAGGGGATTAGACAACACTCCATAGTTAACAGCTACTAGGGGATTAGACAACACCCCATAGTTAACAGCTACTAGGGGATTAGACAACACTCCATAGTTAACAGCTACTAGGGGATTAGACAACACCCCATAGTTAACAGCTACTAGGGGATTAGACAACACTCCATAGTTAACAGCTACTAGGGGATTAGACAACACCCCATAGTTAACAGCTACTAGGGGATTAGACAACACTCCATAGTTAACAGCTACTAGGGGATTAGACAACACCCCATAGTTAACAGCTACTAGGGGATTAGACAACACTCCATAGTTAACAGCTACTAGGGGATTAGACAACACCCCATAGTTAACAGCTACTAGGGGATTAGACAACACTCCATAGTTAACAGCTACTAGGGGATTAGACAACACCCCATAGTTAACAGCTACTAGGGGATTAGACAACACTCCATAGTTAACAGCTACTAGGGGATTAGACAACACCCCATAGTTAACAGCTACTAGGGGATTAGACAACACTCCATAGTTAACAGCTACTAGGGGATTAGACAACACCCCATAGTTAACAGCTACTAGGGGATTAGACAACACTCCATAGTTAACAGCTACTAGGGGATTAGACAACACCCCATAGTTAACAGCTACTAGGGGATTAGACAACACTCCATAGTTAACAGCTACTAGGGGATTAGACAACACCCCATAGTTAACAGCTACTAGGGGATTAGACAACACTCCATAGTTAACAGCTACTAGGGGATTAGACAACACCCCATAGTTAACAGCTACTAGGGGATTAGACAACACTCCATAGTTAACAGCTACTAGGGGATTAGACAACACCCCATAGTTAACAGCTACTAGGGGATTAGACAACACTCCATAGTTAACAGCTACTAGGGGATTAGACAACACCCCATAGTTAACAGCTACTAGGGGATTAGACAACACTCCATAGTTAACAGCTACTAGGGGATTAGACAACACCCCATAGTTAACAGCTACTAGGGGATTAGACAACACTCCATAGTTAACAGCTACTAGGGGATTAGACAACACCCCATAGTTAACAGCTACTAGGGGATTAGACAACACTCCATAGTTAACAGCTACTAGGGGATTAGACAACACCCCATAGTTAACAGCTACTAGGGGATTAGACAACACTCCATAGTTAACAGCTACTAGGGGATTAGACAACACCCCATAGTTAACAGCTACTAGGGGATTAGACAACACTCCATAGTTAACAGCTACTAGGGGATTAGACAACACCCCATAGTTAACAGCTACTAGGGGATTAGACAACACTCCATAGTTAACAGCTACTAGGGGATTAGACAACACCCCATAGTTAACAGCTACTAGGGGATTAGACAACACTCCATAGTTAACAGCTACTAGGGGATTAGACAACACCCCATAGTTAACAGCTACTAGGGGATTAGACAACACTCCATAGTTAACAGCTACTAGGGGATTAGACAACACCCCATAGTTAACAGCTACTAGGGGATTAGACAACACTCCATAGTTAACAGCTACTAGGGGATTAGACAACACCCCATAGTTAACAGCTACTAGGGGATTAGACAACACCCCATAGTTAACAGCTACTAGGGGATTAGACAACACCCCATAGTTAACAGCTACTAGGGGATTAGACAACACTCCATAGTTAACAGCTACTAGGGGATCATACAACACCCCATAGTTAACAGCTACTAGGAGATTAGACAACACTCCATAGTTTACAGCTACTAGGGGATTATACAACACCCCATAGTTAACAGCTACTAGGGGATTAGACAACACCCCATAGTTAACAGCTACTAGGCGATTATACAACCCCCATAGTTAACAGCTACTAGGGGATCATACAACCGTCTATTTAACCGTTTTTGTCAAAACAATCAAATGGCTTTTAGTTTTGCTTTCAATTTTCCAAGAATCATAAAAGTAATGCATGCATTAAAATATTCTTGGTCACAAATTTCGCTTGTTATTGTTATGAAATATCATTATGGTCTTGAAGGACTTTCCTTGCTCCTTTGATCTTAGAATTTGTACTTTCAAACACAGTTGTATTAAGAAGATTTTGAAATTGTGTGACATGATATCTGCGTGTTTGATTTAGGCTTATGTATTTCCACTTGATGTGTCGCTCATTTTGCTGAGATTCAGTAATATATTATTCATTTGCACAGCACTTCTGCTTCATAGACATAAAACCTGTGAAGATCTTTGGATGATCGGTGCCAAGCTTTCTCAGGCATCTCTCCTCACCTACTTATATACTACTGTTGATCCACCACTTACTGCTGCCATTGTTGCTTTCCCTGCCAGTTCATTTTGATAGACGATTGTGATAATGTTATGAAGCTTTCAATGTTCTCGGTTAGTTTAAGTTTCTGATGTTAACAGGTGGAATGGGTGGAGGTATGGGCTTGGGAGGAGGAGGAGGAGGCGGCGGTCTGTCGGCCCTCATGGGAGGTCGACCCACAAGTGCCACATCCACAGCATCAGAGCCGTAAGTCTTAATGTGTTAATATGTTTGTTATTATGGTTTTCTGGCTTCCAAGGGATCCAGGAAATGGGTTTTTTTTCATTTGAAAATAGTATCATATTTACTCTATTTTATGCTTTGCATATATTTCCTACTTTCCAACAAAATTAGGAAAATTTGTGCATTCATACATGTTTTAGAAATGGAAGCTGCTGAGAAACCATATTACGATTGAGCCACAATAGCCAACCCACCAACATTTCAATTGACCCACTATCAGTCTTCTCAGCTCTCTTTTCAATAAACATTGGGATCAAACAAACCTTTTGTTGACAAAGACAATGTTTTCATGGTCAGACTGAGGAAGGATAAGAACCAAAAATAAATTGTGCTTGAATGATTATTGACAAATTTGTCTAAGGGTTTGTTTTCCTTCAAACAAGATTTATTGTTATTTGTTGCTAACGATGCCTCTTTAAAATTGTGCAATTATATTTCCAGCCCAATGAGGGTACAGTCCTCTCCAGGAGCAAGAGGCACAGATTCTCCCTCCCAGGCCCCAAGGCCTGTCACGGCAGCAGCCCTGCCCTCCCAGGCCACACCCACAACCACAGCACCAGCCAATCAGAGCACTGGGGCATCCATCACAACCACTGCTGCCACGCCCACTGCTGGGGCGTCGGCCTCGCGACAGGCCATCCAGCTCAGTGACCTACAGAATATACTTTCCAGTATGAAAGGTAAGAACCTGTTAAAGGGGCATTAAAACACATCGGGTGAAAACTGGCAATATTAAAGCAAACATCTAAACTACATTTTAAAGTTTATTATTGAACAAAATTTTGTTAAATAATTAAAAAAAAACATAGGTAGTCTTTGTTGTAACTTTATTGTTAAGTCACACAACAGGGGTCTACAATTCTTTATACAGAGTTCTAACACACAGGCAAAGTATGAAAATGATGAACCAGTGAAGGTGCTAGTGGGGTTCCAAATAAGAAATATATTTGGATTGTGGGACAATCAAGAAAAATTCCAAACATTGAGACATCGACTCATGAATGTTGAACTTTGAACATCTTTGAAATCCTGTATATATATTGCACTGCATAAGACTGAATGTGATCAATTGTTAAGTGACAGAACACAAGACAGGAAAATAATTTGTACATGTATAATTATGTAGTTATACACTGTAGTTTGTATGTTTCAGTGTTAAAATGTGCCTTGGGCATTTCAATGTTCTTATACTGGTAACTGTTGACTTCAATGTATTAGTTGTAATTGTAAATGTTTTTATAACGATAGGACCTAGATTATAATTCGAAACAGTGACAAATTTGAATCATGACAGTTCAATTTAGAAATGGAATCGGTTGTAACATGTAAGGAAAAAAAATCAGACTTTGTCGAAAGTGTGACACACCGAGAAATTTGTATCTTCAAAGTTCGATTTATGGAAGAGTTGACTGTAAATTTTGACTTTTCTAGAGATGTGCAGACTTTTAATCTGGGTGTCAAGCTAGTGAAACTGTATACCCTTATAATCTGTTTGAAATTTCACAGTAGTTCAGTGATTTAAGAAAACATGTTGACTTTTTGAATCAAGAAATTAGTAGACTTCTTTTTCTCATTTGTTTCATTCAGTTCCTGGATCAGACCAAAAGCCAGGTAAGGGAGATACTTATGTTTTTCACATGTACACTAAATCGCCAATATCCTACTAATACACACTGTTAATTTCCTATATCTCATACAGAAACAGTTTGGTGACCGTTCTTTATCTATTAAGGAGGGCATCACTTCACATTTCGTTTGTGTCCTATTTTTAGCTCACCTGGCCCAAAGAACCAAGTGAGCTTATCCTGTAGCACCGCACCGGCGTCAAGATTTTTATTTAAACAACTTCTTCTTAATAAGCAAAAGGCCTAGGGTGGTGATATTTGGCCAGAAGCAAACTGGAATGAAGGGGATACCAAGTTTGTTCACATTATTGACCTTCACCCATAATGAAGGTCACAGTGGTCAAATATGTTAAAACCCTAAACAACTTCTTCTGAATAACCAAATGGTCCAGGGTGATGATATTTGGCCAGAAACATGCTGGCATGAAGGACTACCAACTTTGTTCAAATCAATGTATATTCAAGGTCGCAGGGATCAAATATGCTCAAAAATCTTTAAACAACTTCTTCTGAATAACCAAAAGGCCAAGGATGATGATATCTGGCCAGTTGTATGTTAGATTTAAGGGCTACCAATTTTGTTCAAATGAGTGACCTTGAATTATATTCAAGGTCACAGGGATCAAATATGTTTTAAAAAATCTTGCAACAACTTCTGAAAAACTAAAAGGCACAGGATGATGATATTTGACCAGTAACATGCTGAGATAAAGGGCTACTAAGTTTGTGCAAATGAATTACCTTGACTTGTATCAAGGTAACAGGGGTCAAATATGTTCAAAATCTTAAAACGACTTCTTCTGAATAGCCAAAAAGCCCAGGGTGATGATATTTTTGCCAGTAACATGTTATGATTAAGGGCTACCAAGTTTGTTAAAATGAAAAGGTTCCCGAAACTTTATCAAAAATAGTAATATTTTTCTGTAAAATGTTCCATTATGGGTAGGTACCCTCATATAACATATTAAAAACATATGTTGAAGCTTTATTTGCTGCTTGTCCTTGTTGTATAAACATTAATCTAATTACATGACAGACATTGATCTGGTCCAGGCCCTCAACCCAGAGACCATGATCCCTATTCTGGCCAACAAGGATGTCCAGGAGCGACTTGTCAAGTTCCTCCCTGAGGGCAAGTCCCTACCAAAGACAGAGGCAGAACTACGCAACACAATCACCTCACCACAGTTTCAACAGGTAACACATTATATGTGGTCCAGGTCACACGCATATAATACTTACATCTGTGTGACAGATATTATACACAGATATAATATTTACATGACAACATTTGTGGTCCAGGTCATATAGATATAATATTTACATGAAAACATTTGTGGTCTAGGTCACACAGATATAATATTTATATGTCCACATTTGTGGTCCAGGTCAAAGATATAATATTTACATTTTGCTAACATTTCCACGTGAGCGATACAGGCCCCCTGGGCCTCTTGTTTATATAACCATTGCTGCTATAAACTGTACATACTTGTTGCTATAATCACACTCCTTTGTTTCTATGACAACACTTATGTTTTATGTCGTTGTTGCTAGGCGCTGTCCTCCTTTAGTGCTGCTTTACAGTCTGGTCAACTTGGCCCTCTGATGTCACAGTTTGAGTTAGGGGTTGATGTGGCCACTGCTGCTGCTCAAGGAGGTGAGGTTATGTGGACAGCTCAATCTCTTTAAGGCTTTCTTATATACCGTTTTGACATTTTTTTATCCCAACCTCAAGGTAGGGAAATATCTTACTAGAGAATTACAACAGGAACTGCAAATGAAACCCATTTATCTTGGACTGCTAATTGATCAAATAAGTGATACTCTGATTGGTCAAATTGGAGTCCTTTCCATTTTCAATACTGGTGAATAAGATATTATGTAGGCTAATGGTGAAGTGTTCTCATGCCTGTGTAGGTTGTCTACTTCAGGATGAAGAACTCTCGCCTGTGTAGGTTGTTTACTACAGGGTGAAGAACTCTAGCCTGTTTTCCATTTTCAATACTGGTGAATAAGATATTATGTAGGCTAATGGTGAAGTGTTCTCATGCCTGTGTAGGTTGTCTACTTCAGGATTAAGAACTCTCGCCTGTGTAGGTTGTCTACTTCAGTATGAAGAACTCTCGCCTGTGTAGGTTGTTTACTATAGGGTGAAGCACTCTCGCCTGTGTAGGTTGTTTACTACAGGGTGAAGAACTCTAGCCTGTTTTCCATTTTCAATACTGGTGAATAAGATATTATGTAGGCTAATGGTGAAGTGGTCTCATGCCTGTGTAGGTTGTCTACTTCAGGATGAAGAACTCTCGCCTGTGTAGCTTGTCTACTTCAGGATGAAGAACTCTCGCCTGTGTAGGTTGTTTACTACAGGGTGAAGAACTCTAGCCTGTTTTCCATTTTCAATACTGGTGAATAAGATATTATGTAGGCTAATGGTGAAGTGTTCTCATGCCTGTGTAGGTTGTCTACTTCATGATGAAGAACTCTCGCCTGTGTAGGTTGTCTCCTTCAGGATGAAGAACTCTCGCCTGTGTAGGTTGTTTACTATAGGGTGAAGAACTCTCGCCTGTGTAGGTTGTTTACTATAGGGTGAAGAACTCTCGCCTGTGTAGGTTGTTTACTATAGGGTGAAGCACTCTCGCCTGTGTAGGTTGTTTACTACAGGGTGAAGAACTCTAGCCTGTTTTCCATTTTCAATACTGGTGAATAAGATATTATGTAGGCTAATGGTGAGGTGTTCTCATGCCTGTGTAGGTTGTCTACTTCAGGATTAAGAACTCTCGCCTGTGTAGGTTGTCTACTTCAGTATGAAGAACTCTCGCCTGTGTAGGTTGTTTACTATAGGGTGAAGAACTCTCGCCTGTGTAGGTTGTTTACTACAGGGTGAAGAACTCTAGCCTGTTTTCCATTTTCAATACTGGTGAATAAGATATTATGTAGGCTAATGGTGAAGTGGTCTCATGCCTGTGTAGGTTGTCTACTTCAGGATTAAGAACTCTCGCCTGTGTAGGTTGTCTACTTCAGGGTGAAGAACTCTCGCCAGTGTAGGTTGTCTACTTCAGGGGGAAGAACTCTCGCCTGTGTAGGTTATCTACTACAGGATGAAGAACTCTCGCCTGTGTAGGTTGTCTGCTTCAGGATGAAGAACTCTCGCCTGTGTAGGTTGTTTACTATAGGGTGAAGCACTCTCGCCTGTGTAGGTTGTTTACTACAGGGTGAAGAACTCTAGCCTGTTTTCCATTTTCAATACTGGTGAATAAGATATTATGTAGGCTAATGGTGAAGTGTTCTCATGCCTGTGTAGGTTGTCTACTTCATGATGAAGAACTCTCGCCTGTGTAGGTTGTCTCCTACAGGATGAAGAACTCTCGCCTGTGTAGGTTGTCTACTTCAGTATGAAGAACTCTCGCCTGTGTAGGTTGTCTACTACAGGGTGAAGTACTCTCGCCTGTGTAGGTTATCTACTACAGGGTGAAGAACTCTCGCCAGTGTAGGTTGTCTACTTCAGGGTGAAGAACTCTCGCCTGTGTAGGTTATCTACTACAGGGTGAAGAACTCTCGCCTGTGTAGGTTGTCTACTACAGGGTGAAGAACTCTCGCCTGTGTAGGTTGTCTACTACAGGGTGAAGAACTCTCGCCTGTGTAGGTGGTCTACTACAGGGTGAAGAACTCTCGCCTGTGTAGGTTGTTTACTATAGGGTGAAGAACTCTCGCCTGTGTAGGTTGTTTACTACAGGGTGAAGAACTCTAGCCTGTGTAGGTGATCTACTACAGGGTGAAGAACTCTCGCCTTATTGACAGCACATGTAATGTTTGACTGTGTTTCTTTCACTAGATTTTATTGCACCCATATCTCTGATTTCAGATCTAGAAGCGTTTGTCAAGGCCATGCAAGAACGTGATGGTAAGAAGGATGAGAAGATGGACACAGACTGACTTACATAGGGATTATGTTTGACCTGGAGTAAAGCTACACCAGAGTTCATGGTTTATCAGTGTGCTTATTTCAAAATGAAATTCTTAGTTATTCCTCAAAGAAGATAAGGGAAATTTCCTCTATAGTTTGAAATTCCAAGAATTTCAATTGTCATTTGTAAGTCAATGTGCTATGTATTACAGACTATGTATAATTGATCTGTCCGAGTGCTGTTGTAGAATTAACCTTGGTGAGAGGTGGGAGGTAAAGCCATCACCCACAGTCTGAAATGATTTAATATAGGGAATGGTAGTCAGTGGTTGTACCACGTATAGTATATCAATACAAGTGCCTCCCACCTCCCAATAAGATTAATCATGGAATAGCCCTAAATAGACTTTTAGAAATATATCAGAATTAAAATATTCAATTCAAATGAAAGCTAATTGTTTTGTTATTTCTTCACATTCACTATTGACATCTGGGCTACATTCGCGTATCCAGTTGAAACGGTTGAACCGGTTGAACTTGTAAAGAAAACGACAGGTACAGATTTGGACTGAGGCTGACCTCAGGAAAATTTGGTACGTGTAGATTGAGGGGTCCAGACGTACCTGACCGAAACTAAAATGCTGAGTATTGCCAATTTGCATTATTTCTTTCTTAAACAATGTCAATTCACATGTAATTTTTAAGATACGTTATGTAATATAGTGGACGCATGAGAGAAGGGCATAATATTCTTGATACATTGTTTTTTTATTCTCACAAACTGTGGATTTTTAGCTCTGCTTATAGAACGGTCCAAGTGTGTTCGTTTATCGTGGATTTTTTTTGCGCCACACGTACCGTTTCAACCAGGATACGCAAATATAGCCTAGTATTAAGGAACATCAGGGTAGATAACTCTCACGCACGTAAGATACCAATCTCTACCCAGAGTTGTCATTCCTTACAAAATAGCCTCTGATCATGTGATGTCAAACTGTACAATATGGCGGCAGAGAAGATCGACAACTTTATCATTGGTCTTGATTTTCATCAGTCTTGTGTAATGGCCATCCCACGAAAAAGTTACTGGTTTGTTTATGTTTTAAAAAACAAAACCAAAAAAAACACTCAAGACTTTTAAATTATATGGAAGAAATCTCTTATGCTCATGATCATCATGAAGAGAACATGTGCTTTCAATAAATTTTTGTTTACATGACATTCTCAGATACCAACGGCGCAAACAAATATATAATCCTTTCAGTTTTGGGTTGAAAATTGTGTTATGGTGACACATAAAACACATTTTGTAGAAATGAAGTTTTCATGAAAATCAACGCCGAAAGAAAAAAAAAGAAAAAAAAATGTAGGTTCCCCTTGGTATGTAGTTATGCACTGATCGGATAAACAAATCTTTGATTTTGACAGTTAAGGTATTTTAGTGCTATTTCCCAGGAAGTACTGGAGGGTTCTTTCTCAAATTTTATATGCAGATTCCCCACTGTCCTTTATTGTTCATGTTTACTTTTGAAACTGATCAGATAAACAAAATGGGCACCGACTGGCGACCATCTTTGATTTTTAGCTAAGGCGTCAGCCGCCAGCTATTGGTATTACTTTAGTTAATGAGCTCAGATATTCATAAATGTCGATTTCACACAGACGACCTCTAGCGGTAGTCACTGGTACTAAATTGAATCATATACCGGACCTACTGTCTTTATTATGCGTAACTTTGGACTCAAATGCACTTGAATGGCTTGTAAATATCATTACTTTTCTTTATAGAACATATGATCTTATCACAACGTCGTATTCTTATTGAAAATGCACCCTGTTTATCTCAATCGGGAACTGCTACTTGAATGTAGGTCATGCATGCTACACGCAACTTCCGGTAAAAATACTTCAGTTAATGAGCTCAGATATTCATAAACGAGACATAACGTCACCTTCTAGTAATACTAAACAAACTGCAAATAAAATCCATTACCACGGACTCAAGTTCACTCAAACGTCATTGGATATAATCTTATTCTTAGTTAGAACTAAGTATCCTTCTAAAACTTCGTATTTACTCTTGGAACTGTCGCTGGATTAACCCTTTACACGGAAATATTGTCCTGTGATTGGCTAAAATTGGTGACATTTACGTCCCTGTTTACAATTATATATTGCGTGGTCAGAGCTATGAAGCGGTCCTGTTCCAACTAACTGAGGATAATCAAAAGTGCTAATCAGTAATAATATATCTGATTCACGCTTCATATGATTATAATGTTATCAAAATATTGCATATTCGTTCATCGTTAAAATAACAAATCCTTACTAAAAACTCTAAAAAAAGAAACGACGGCCATGTTAGATCACGCGTGATGTTATCCGTTTCCTTATATGGCCTTCACGGCCAAATATAGTATTACTACTGATGCGGTCATGTTTACTACAATTTCCATATTTGGTCATGACACCCATATTTAGACGTCTGACCTATATCGGAAAGATTGAGGAAGTTTCCAACATGGCAGTCAATTAGGATTTCGCTTGCACTTGTTACGTAAACTTGATAATTTAACGAAATATAAGGCGGAGTATAACTTACAATTATGTAGGAGATCAACATAAAAAGTTCATATTACAAACCTATTAATGGATACGGATCCTGTCAATTAATTCTAAAATCGCCTCCGTGTGATTCACACCAGGCTTGCCTAACTAAAATGGGATCAACCGGCCGGGGCAGATGAGACCGGGAATCATGTTAGAACTAGCCACTGTCCTTCTCTAGTTCCATATTGGTATTCTAACCTGAAGGCTTTTTTTACCTTCGCAGTATTATCATTTTGTTCTATTTTCATCATAAGATATGCTATTGCATTTTTATATCGCCTTCTCGCTAATTACAGCTCAGCCAGAAACGAAAATATGCTCCGATAGGCCTACATTTTATATGTCTGTTGGTGTGATTTGTGTTTTTCGTTTATTGAAGTATTACCATATAACAGGACTCTTTTATTTCAATATACACAAAAACAACAACACCTTCGGAATGATTTCAGACATATACTGCGGGAAAACACGAGTGATCTCCCTTACATTTAGACATGCGCACATTTTACTTTCGTTTTGTGTAGGCCTAGACATCATTCGCAACGCGAAGCGGAAAAGACGAAAATGCAGGCGAGTGTTGACTTAATGTTAGGCATGTTGTTTAAGCAGCATTGACAATGAACAATATACATACACTTCTGCAACGTTTACCTACTACTGATTCATAAATAAGGCTATGTATCCCGATTTCGGTGACTTGTGGCCAAGCATGCGGCCGAAGCCGCAGAGAATGGCGCATGTTGTCAGCGGCGATGACAAAAAGGAAGGTGCTTCTACGGTATGTATAGCAGTTATTATGCAAAAACAAACATAATAAACGGACGTTTTACTCTAGTGAATTACAGCGTCACGAGGAACGTCTTTCTCCAGACGTGTTGCAAAATTTTCGAACTGCTTAGTTGCAAACTGATTTCACTTAAGCGTTGTTTGTGAGGATATTTGGCCTTACATTTCTTCTCATTCAGTTAAAAAAAAACATGTTATAAACATTGTATTATTAGATTCATTGTGATGTTGGCTTTCATTGAAGTTTCAATTGTTATACTACTTGATGTTTTGGAAACTTAAACAAGTATAGTAGTTCTAAATATTATGAAATGACAGAAACATTAGGCCAAACAAATTACTTGTGTTTCTACTATCAGAAAAAAATAGGGTAGGTATGTATTAGCTAGGCATTTTATTGTTAATTTGAAAAATATCTTTACTGCGCTAATATAGAGCAGGAGTTCTGACTTTAACAGTGCATATAAAAACTTAAGGGTATTGTAGAACACAAATCTGAGATAAGTCTGGTTAACCACACTGGTGTCGAACACACCAATAAGTATAGTGTGTATAATATATCATAGTTTATACACATCATATTACTATTAGTGTGTCCAGTATCTGTGGGGTTAGCATAAACTCAATATTTGTTTTAAACTTTTAATTGGCCTTATATAATGATCATTTATAGGTCAGACAGGGTTTGGTTTCCAATTCGGAAACTAGACCTGTTAAAACAGTTATCATTTGTAATTTAGAGATTAAATATTTCTAAGCAGAAAAAAATGAACTATAAATATTTTTCAACCTTTTCTGAGTTGTACAATTTTAGAGTATCTTCTGTCTGAAATCTGAACATAACTTGTTTTATGATAAATGTGTAAAACAATTCCTCATACTGGGGTAAAGTTTTTCTATATATAGTCCCAAAAACTACAGATAAAATCCTTGAGCACGTACAAGATACAAAAATATATATTTTACGTCCATTTTGCAAAACATACAACATAAGCTACAAAGACAAAACATGAGTATAATAACAGAGACCAAAATATTACAACATGGAAAAATAAAATAAAAACATGTATGTACATGTAGTATACTGTAAGCTCAGAAAAAGAGTTTATCACTTGGAAAGCACTTAATAGGCACATTGAACACGGTAAGCACATCAGCACATGGTAATTTAAGCACATTTAGAACATTTGCATACAGCACATAAAAAACAAAACCATAACATGGAAAGCTTATTAGCACATAGTAGGCACATTTGCACATTGTAAGCAAAATAAAGGAGTGCAATGGACATCTCCATGTTTCCTGGTTAATTTCTTCTTTATGGAAACAACCAGGGGAGAGTGATGTTCTGCTTCATCTTTTGTATTAATGAAAACCGTGAATATCTAAGTGCGTGTGTTTAAACTAATTTTGTTTTGTTTTTACTGGTACCTTTTTATGTACACATGTTTTACCACCTAAGGAATTAGATGTCTTAAGCCCCCATATGATGTGCTGTTATAAGTTGAATTTAATGTACATTTTGTTTATATTTAGTTCTGCTACCAAAGAGATTGACTTATTGAAATGTTTTTGAAACATTTTAATGAACTCCTCAGCTTTAATGCCTTATTTCTCACTATACAAGCTCATATTGCTATGCCTCCTATTTGTTTGAATATCATCTCTAAACATTATTGCTGGTGCAGAAATTATATGGTAACTATGTTCTATTTTAGGGGGGGAAAGCAATCAATATTACAACAGACAGGGATGGTTATTGATGGGAGAAAGGAGGATGAGAAATAGGAACTGTACCAACTCTCTCATACCTTTGAGGACTTCATGAACTTTTTCAAAAGGCTGCAAGAACTATACCAACAGTGACATGACATTTTGAAATCTGTCAGTTACTTTATAGAGGAGGAACCTCTGACTAAATCATTTTCTCTCAGACACATGAAAGCCGAGTCCACAGATCCTTCCATCAGCGAATAGTTCAAATGTAGTTCAAATGCTTTCCTCGCAAACTTTTCCTTAATGGAGAAGTCAGTGATCTTTACTTGGAACAGATT